AGAAGAGACACAGTCGACGACACCATTCAACTGAGCAGACTGAGCAAACGACACCGACAGAAACTACATCAGATCGAAGGACTAGTAGCAGCACCATGGTGCCCTCAACGCGAGGTACAACAGACGAGAGAAGCACGGTACCCCCTGGTACCACCACGCCATCAAGGGACACAACTCAAACCATAGGTACTGCTACAGCAGCCACACAGCGCATCACAGCGACTTCAGAAATAACTACAACGGAAGAGACCAGTGGAACGCAGACAAGTGTCGTCACTTTTGAAATGACCACCACGGAAGAAACTACACTTCGACAATCTACAACAGAACCTTTGAGTAAAGGTGCTACCTACATGACTACTATGCCAAAGACCGACACCACAAATACTGATCAAACTACTGCGGTAACCATTGGCACATCGTCGACTATGAATACTCCAGAAGAAACGACGTTGACTACGCGAGCAAGTGCTAGGACAACCTTGGCTACAGCAGAAAGACGAAGTTCTACCACAGAAAGGGGGACTGGACAAACAACAGCTACTGCGGCACCTGGTACCACAGAAGTCATCACCATGGAAGTCAAAACAACTGGTATCTTTGAAAGGGAAACAACTACGTCGCAGACCTCCACTGAGACAACTACAGAAGCTACAACAAGACAAGGTGCGGCCGAGACAACGACTTTATTACCGGGTACAACCACTCAATCTGGCACAGCAAGGAAAACTACAACGATGGTTCTTACTACATCGCTTGACCTAGGTACTGCGGGAGAAACCTCAACGCCACCAGCTTCTACACTCAACACAGAGGAAACTACCATCAACACAGCAACTAGTAGGACTGCTACAGAGAAATCCACCATGGTATCTACAGCGACATACACAAAAGGCTCGACAGGGGGAAACCACTGCAACGACAATTGCAAACGAGGCAACTGGTACCACTGATGAAACAACAGTATTTACAGCTACATCATCGACACGTCGTACAACGGGTGAAACCACGGTACCTCCAACAACGTATGGTAGCACTGCTACGCAAAGTACCACGCAAAGGCGCGGGAGCACGGAAAGCACCACGGAAGCTACATCAACGTCTGCAGAACTCGGTACATCGAAAGAAACAACATACCTGCAAGTGACAACGGTAATCGCTGAAGAAACAACCGAGAAAGATACAAGCACTACGGAAAAGACCACAGTACCACCATCTACCTCCATGCAAACTACTAGTACATCGTTTGGCACCATGGCAACGAGTGCTGGGAGAGATACTACAACAGGAAGCACAGACGAGACCACCATGTCAACAATTACTACCACTGGACACAGGGGAACTTTGGAGCTCACCACAGCACTGACCACAAGTAAGACAGAACAGACCACCGTCCGCACTGGTACAGAACAAACTACGCCTCTGTCATCTAGTACTGAAGACAGTAGGGGTACTGATAAAACCACCACCATGAAAACTACACCTGCAGAGCAGGGAAGCACGGAGAATACCGACATGCCGTCGACTTCGACAGATGTGCCGGGCACTACGGAAGACACCACGATACTACAATTTACACCCGGAACTGGTGTAACAGACAGCACGGAGTTTTCTCCTACAACTACAAGCCAGAGGAGTACCGCGACTGATAGCACAACGCTTCCAACTACCACGGTAGAGACCACGCTACCACAAACTAGCACGGCATCGACTGAGAAGAGTAGTACAACAAAAACCACGGTACCTCCCAGCACCGCATCTGAACGCGACACTACAGAGAAAACGACGATAATTCTAAGTACCTCTGATGACGTGGGTAGTACAGAAGAAACCACACCGTTCGCAACAGGAACTACTAGTGGAGGGGATGTCACAGAATCTACTATGGCTCCATCCACCTCTGCGAGAGAGGAGGCGTCCACAACGGGAACAACAATTCTGCCAACCACCAGAACAGAGGGCAGTTCTACAAAGGAAACGACGTTGGCAACGCCTTCATCTGAACCACAGGACACGTCGATGTTCACAACTGAATTCTATACCACAGATGAAATCTCGAGGCCACCGACTACTGCACTCCAACAATTCAACACGGGTGAAACTACAGAGGCACTGACTTCAACAACGGAACAAGGTACCACGGAAGAAACACCAATGCCAGCGACAGTAACAACGAGGCTGGGTACCACGGTAGAGACGCCAATGCCATGGACAGTAACAACGGAGCTAGGTACCACGGTAACAACGGAGCTAGGTACCACGGTAGACACGTTAGAGCTTCTAACCTCTACAATGGATTTAGGTACCACGAACGAGACGCCACTGCCTCCTACGTCTACAGCAGATCTAGGTACCACCGAAGGAACACCCATGCCTACAACGTCTACAACCAAGAGAGGGACTACGGTAGAGACACTGGCCCCTGCGACTTCTACAGTTGAGCTTGATACTACTGAGGAGACGCCAATGCCTCCAACCTCTACAGTTGAGCTAGATACCACGGATGAGACAGCAACGCCTATAATTTCAACAGTGGAGCTGGGTACTACCGTAGAGACCTCGGTGCCTCCAACGTCTACAACCAAGCTAGGTACCACGGTAAAGACGCCAATGCCTGCGACAGTTACAGCGGATGTAGGTACCACGGTAGAGACATCGATGCCTCCGACCTCTACGGTTGAGCTGGGTACCACGGTGGAAACCCCAGTTTCTTCAACGTCTACCACCGATTTAGGTACTACGGACGATACTCCGATGCCTCTAACCTCTACAATTGAACTAGGCACTACAAACGCCACAGCAGCACCTCCGACCTCTACAGCCAAGCTCGGTACCACGGTAGATACCTCCATACCACCAACTGTCGTCACGACCGACGTGGTTGTAACAGGTGAAACAACATTAACACCAACACCAACTACCACAACAGAGCAGGGTACCACGAAGAAAACCACGGTACTCCAAACCTCCAAAAGGGAGTTCGTTACCTCAGGAGAAACTACAACTGGTGCAACTGTGAGAGGCAACACTGGGAGTACCACATTCCAGACCAATGTGCCTACACGTGGTACCACAGAGACGTCAACGTTCGCACCTACCACTACAACACCAGAGCAAGGTACGATGACAGACGACGCAACACAGTCAACCTTCGCGGCCTCTCAGACTAGCTTTACAGACGAGTCAACCATTCTGTTTACTGAAACTGAAAAGTCAGAAACTACGGCTTACACGGATACCACAGATATTAGTACGACGTCAAAGCGAAGTACCACCAGGTCCGATACCACAAAAGGGACCACAACTCTGTCTACTGTCACAGCAGAACGTGGTACTGGCGTGCAGACAACAGAGGTCGTGGTAACGGTTGAAACTGGTACTGTGGACGACGCTACGTCTCAGCAAGCGACCACAAAAGCGACGAGTATCACAGAACAAACTACGAAGGTAACAAGTGGCTTTAGTAAAGGTACTGATATCACTACAGGGTTAACTACCACGGGGGAAAGTACGACGGAGACCACGCTCTTATTAGCAACATCAGGGACAAGTTCATTATCAGAATTCAGTACTAGTTCAACCAAGGTAACTACGTTTTCAACTCAGTCTAGTACTACAGAATCTACTACACCACCTTCAACCGAAACAGATCCTGGCACTGCTACCAAGGACACTACCGTGTTCAGCAGTACAGGTACCACAGGACCACAAACGGTGGTGACTAGTACTGCCGTTACTATACCAACTACATCAGGGGAAGCCTCGAGCAAAGGAACAGCAAATACTCCGTCAACATCCACTATAACACCAGCCACCGATACGTCTGCGCCTTTTACGGATACACAAGGACCTACGACTTCAGAAGTCTCTACAAGTTCAACGTCTACTCAACATTCAGCAAGCTTGCCAGAAGAAACTACGACTGATGTGGTTGTGTTTACTACTGTTGTGGAAATTTCTACCGAAGAATTGAAGACTCCAAGCACCGACATGCCTGCAACTAGTACGGTCCTTACTGGGTCAACATTTCATACAAGTTCCGTAGCCACAGGCCAGAGTACTGAAACGCCATCCACAGGAGCGCCATCTACCGGAGCAACAGGAAGCACAGGGATTGGGACTTCAGATGTTACGAGCAGGACAGATGTAACAGCACAGACGGAGAGTACCGTAACTACAGGACCTGACACCACGATTTCAACTCCTTCAGCGTCACAGTTGGTAAGTACGCAGCAAACCGCAGCGCCATCTACCGGAGCAACTGGCCCTGCAACTGATACAACAACCTACACTTCGTCCATCGGTACAAAAACTGATAAAACTGCATCAACCGAGAGAAGGTCAACAGAGGAACCCACTACAACGGCACTGACTACGGCATTCTCCCAAAGCACCGGTGAAACAGTCACCCCAAGCGGGGAGCGAAGCACGGAGTCTCCTTCCACTATCTTCACACCCACTACGCGGATCACAACACCTCAGGCTACGAATACGAAGACAACGCAGCAGACCACCAACACACGAACAGAACTAACAGATATTCCGTCTACGTCAGGTTCGAGAAGACCTAAAACCGAGACAACAGGAGAGACCAGCTTTCCTGATACTTCAACCTCTCAGACTGACATGACCACAAGTCTAGAACCACAAGCAACCAGTAAAGCTTTAACTACAAACACAAAACGTTCTGTCGGAACAAGCACTACCATCCAAACAGACAGAGCGACCTCTAGTTTTACATCATCGACAGGTAGGACTTCATCAAACCCTCCATCGACATCAAGAGAAGAAACGCCATCAACTACTGTTCAACCGAAATCAACGACGATTGTCTCATCTCGTAGCAGCACGCGTACAACGGCATCAGCTCAAACAAGTTCCACAACAGGAGGACGCACGTCCCGACTTACCACAACTTCCCGTATCTCCACTTCCACAAGTCAAATCTCATCTACCAGAGGACGACCAACAACAAGCAGCAACGTGAGGAGCACAACACTAAAACCCACGACAGACAAAGCAACTTCTAGTTTTACATCATCGACAGGTAGGACTTCATCAAACCCTCCATTGACATCAAGAGAAGAAACGCCAGCAACTACAGTAACTGTTAAACCGAGATCAACGACGATTGTCTCATCTCGTAGCAGCACGCGTACAACGGCATCAGCTCAAACAAGTTCCACAACAGGAGGACGCACGTCCCGACTTACTACAACTCTCATCTCCACTTCCACTAATCAAATCTCATCAACCAGTGGACGATCAACAACAAGTTTAAGCAGTAGTGTGAGTACAACACTTAAACCCACGACAGACAGAGCAACCTCTAGTTTTACATCATCGACGGGTGGGACTTCATCAAACCCTCCATTGACATCAAGAGAAGAAACACCATCAACTACAGTAACTGTTAAACCTAGATCAACGACGATTGTCTCATCTCGTAGCAGCACGCGTACAACGGCATCAGCTCAAACAAGTTCCACAAGAGGGCGAACATCCCGACTTACTACAACACCCCGTATCTCCACTTCCACAAGTCAAACCTTATCTACCAGAGGACGACCAACAACAAGCAGCAATGTGAGGACCACAACATTAAAACCCACGACTACAGGCCTCAAAAGTACAACACACAAACCGACCTCGACTGTAGCTGCCACAACGAGCACTGTGCAGAGCAGTACTTCAGTAGCACCGGTGTACAACACCACGGCACAGCCTGTAACCGCCTTCCCTTCGTGCACGGTTACCTGCAGCATATACGCCACCTGCGTCCAGAGAAGCTCTCAGGTGTTCCAGTGCGTCTGTAACGACGGCTACGTGGGAAACGGCCGAACCTGTACAGTAGGTGAGATTGTATACTGTTCTCCAACTCAAATGTCCATTTTCTGTTTTTGTTATGGCTTCACCACAAAGTGGTGAAGACATATTGTGTTCCCTCATGTTTCTTCTTCTTCTCCTGCCATTTCTTTAAATGGATTCATCTCTGCCATTTTCCGGCCAAATAACACGAAATTTGGCATGAAGGTAGAGTGGGCAAATACCCCGACGCGTTTTTTTCATTTTTTTGAAAAATTGTTTTATTTGGGTTTTTTGGCCATTTTCAGGCAAAAAATATACATTTTGAGATCTGGTTCCCAGGTACTAAAACCAAATGACCTGAAATTTGGTATGGGGATACCTTGGACATATGTCTACA